CTGAACAGATAACATCCATTAGCCGCTAGGTTTAATAGCGCGTTTCTCGGGAAAGTCGGTAGATACAACCAACTACAAGTTGATAACAAATTTTAATACGTTTCCCAGTCTAAAATGTGAAACTCGGTGAAATTGTTTACGCATACCGAGATCAATGCTTACAACGGACTTTCAGGCATCAGCGGACATTATTGTGTGTTGAAGAACTTGCCATTAAAAAGTAGCACTTAATTAGGCCTACAGGAAACCATGTTATACCTAAATGGTTAAATATTCCAAAAGTAAGAAACCTATCATCTCTTTTTAACAGTTCGTTGTTGCTCAAAACAGTTGAAATATGATTTAACAAGAGGCAACCATTATGTTGGTCTCTTGAGAGGGGTACTCGACAGTTTAGATTCATCCATCTTCCCCCGGGTGCTGAAAGCTTACTGAAGTCCCAAGTCGAATAAGCTATCTAGGCTTCGCAACGCTGATTAAAGCGCAACCTCGCTGCGGTCGAAAGACGCCGGGCAACGAAAATTGAAAATGGCATGCGAAATGCCAGTGACGGATGGCTCGTACAGAAAGCGTCTAATCTTTATCAGCAAGGGTACTTTCAGTTTCGCGGTACGCTTCGCTTTTGTATTCGCAAATAACCTGTTGCCTGTATCGAGATCGGCGTATACAGGCCCTACCAAACAATAGTTCGCAGCGTGTTCTCGACTAGGTGCATCAACAACATTGATAACAAGACTTATTAACCTGACTTGATTTATCAACTGATCTCCGATTCCCTATCGGCCATCCTCTCACATGTCATGGCTGGTCTTTTTGACAGAGTGATACTTAATTTCTTAGCCGAGTACTTGGAAATACTCGAGTTTAAGGCCAATTCCCATAGGATGTGACACTCGCAAAGCAGGCGCCTACCGGGCGACTTGTCTAATCGTTGTTTTGGTCATATTACTTAGGTAGACCGGCAGAGAGGTCTGCTACACGTATTCCGATCAAATGATGTCCGCACAACAATATTGCATGCCAGCTTGCTCATGTATTACAAATCTACTGGTGACGAGGCAAGGATGGTTGCAGGCAATAGGCCAGCAGAGTTTGTTCACGTTTACTGCCTTGAGTTCAACAAAGCATTCATTAGGTTAATCATGACGTTATCATATGCAGACTGAGAGTGTGCATTATTAGTGCTCGAATGCATCTATGGATCCGGAGTTGCACGTTGGACGAGGCAACGGGCACATGTTGGTGGCCATTTGGCCGACTGACGTATCTCTATCAGAGGCTTACCCTAAGGTGGAGTGCTGGGGTCTAATTTGTTCTTGGTCTACATCAGCGACATACCTGTGGTTCTCGGCTGCAGACGACTGAAGATGTGGTGAACGACTAGAACCCCAAAGGACTACGTCCTATTTCAGCTTGACCTCAGTCAACGCTCCCTGTAGTCTTTAGGAATCCGTCTTCCGGTCAACCTTGCCAAGTCGGTATTTACAAGTCTGAAAAATGTTGATGTTGGCCATCCTTTCTTCGAGGGCCAACCACTAAACCCCACACCTCCCGTGAAGGAGCATTTATTGCTGTTAAACTGCGAGTTGAAGCCTGTGGAAATCACGAAAGCCTTACACTTAAAGCACTGTGCATGCTTTGGGTGCTTGAAGTCAGTTTCAGCATCTGGTCTGATATGCTTAAAACGCGTCTCCACCTCCATCATAAGGCTAGTGTCACGGTACGGTTTACCAGACAAAATGTGATCACCGGAAGCAAATTGCGGAATACAGTACAGGTATAACATGACACTGCCAAGCCAATCCTGATTTCACCGAAGCTGACGGATGAATGCAGGTTCGAGAAACTCGGTATTTACACTGTATTCTAAAATAAGTATAGCTCGATCACATCAATGTGTATCATACCCATAAAGATGCTGCCGTTTGATCACAGCATAACATTTATCACACACGGACAATAAAGCCAATTTTGTGTGGCAACTCGGGAGCATGTTCCCTACTCTGGGCGTTTCGAACGGAGGTTCGTCGATTTTCATAATAGTCTGTTGTAGTTCGTACTGGAAACAAACTCGGTTTGGCAGTTAAAAACATCCAGGAGTCATCCTCAACGCAGAGCTGGGTATAGATTGGTCGTGAAACAGTCGCACCCTTCAAATCCAGGAATGGACGTCACTACTTACTGCACCTTTCATTATATAGCTTGTCGATGATATCAATTGCTCACTGTAAGATCCAGAGAACGATGATCTACTCATCATGACATCCCACATCTGTGAGTCCGACACTAACCATTTTATCTGGAAATCTGAGAAACAAGTAAATTATTGACAAGTGATGGTTGATCTCTTATTTTAACGTTTTTCAGCGTATCTTGATGTAACCATTGGTAATTTTATTCCCAACTGACTCCAGAACACACTCTTCAGTATTCTGGGAAAAGGGTATGCGAAGGTTCATCAATATTCACATTTCCTGTAGCTGTCTGATTTTTCATGATTTAAAGTTTGTTAGGCTTCACCTAATAATCCAAATTTAAAAAGCTGGTATGCTACGGTTGCAGTCAACAGCTACACAAGGGAATTGAGGTATTTATCATAGACCTTACACGTGCACAGGATAGCCTACTATGGCAAGATATTATTAGCCCGTTAAAAAATCTCCGTCCTCATTCTAACCAGTTCTGAAAATAACCACAACAATCACTTGTCAACAGCATCACGTTCCGTCGTGTCCCCAGTGTGCAGAAGCAACGAGTGTAATTCATTCATAACGCTAGACGTACGGAGGCGTTGTTTCACTAACTCATGGCTGACATCTAAATATGCATCTATATTTTTAGCTAGTTGATATTGTAGAGATCCACATGAATCTTGACGACACGTACAGTAGCGTACGCGGGAAAGTGGTCGATTAACTTAAGGAAACCAGTAGGAGAACTGCGGTGATTTATCGGTTTCGCTCGCAATGGCATCTCTTGAGTGCTGACTTCAACATTGTCCCTACGCATCAAATTACACTTCAAGGTTCAGAGCAAAGGTTATAACATGAGTCGCTCTGTGATGGCTTATCAAATTACCCGTTCATCTTCATGGTATCAATGTGCCAATTATCCAAGCAGTGAAATGGCATTTCGGTAAATCAAATGAAAGTCTTAAGGTGAGCTAATATAATCCTTCCATAGCTCGACTGATGTATTAAGCTTAGAATCCGCCTGTTGTCCCTAACATAGCTTTGGGGACCGCGAAAAGTTGGTGTAGAATATAAAAATGCCTCAATGACATACGCTGGAAAGATATTCGTGGTCGAGTATAACATGATGTCATAAGTTCTAAACGTGTAGTGTGCTTGTATAGTGATTAATTCCAGCAACAGAAAAGACAAAAGTGAAATTTACTGTCTCAAATTGCTGGATTCCCACTTTATATCTCAGCTATGTGATATTCAGCTGTCAGTCACGCATGTCTGGGGCTGTAACTCATGGCAAAGTGGCACTAGCTGCTGGAATCCAGAAGTCATGGGGGTGGAACCCGGCAGCGATTCGTTGGAAAGCGCACCACTGACGAGACCCAGGAGGTCAAAGGCCGGCTTCTGGTGCTTTTCCAGAATCAAAGCTGATTGAGAGTGGCCATAATGAATTAGTCGAATTACACCAAATTCCGCACTACTCATCACTTTATATTTATCGCATGATTTGGTAGTAATCTAATACATTTCCTTGCAACATTGTTGACCACCAAGTAAGAGCCATTCTCTAGATGGTTTTTATAAGTAGTTAACCGGATGGTTTTGAATTGGGATAATTTTTGAATAGGGAATTTGTAGAGTTTCTCAAAGTAGTTTGTAAATCAAATAGTCCCCCCGCATATTCGAAAAGTGCTAGATAGCATTTTAGTCTTACTATGGCACCATAGTAATAGGCATTCCCCAGCAGGAGATGAATCCACGAAGTGTGGAAGACTATAAGAGTTGCGAGCTGCTAAGTGCTTCGAAATATTCACCCTAAAGGGTTTCTGTCATAACTCACCTAGTCTCTGTTAGTGGAAGTCGGGAATTTCGGGGCCAAGCATTTATACTGAAATGTTAGTAGCTTGTCTAGCAATAGGATACGAGGTGTGCCATGTTGCAGTTAGGTTTCAGCTAATGAATGGTTTAGTGGGAAAAGCTACTAGCTAGTGGCTCAAGCCGCTAATGTTAATGCGCATGGATAATAATGCAGCGGATGGATGCTCAATAATGACTGATGCCGATAGGATGAATCGGTTGTCTAGTGCTTTCTCTGGCGTGTGGAACACTGTTTAACTTGACATCCGTCTTGGCGAACACTCAGTTAATACTCGCTAAGTCTAAAATCCAAAGGACCAGGATTGGAAAAATCGAAAAACAATGGATTTTGTGTAGATAACATCCAACAATCCTGTGTTTTATAAGGGTTGCAGAAATTCATCTGTAGATGATTTATAACAGTGCTATTCATATTCTAGGCCGCGGTTTGGTGTCATATTCCACCCATGATTTTGATATTTTATTCTGACGTACAATGTACAGGAAATTAGCCGTGTCACTGAGAAGGGCGGATTAGTGCGTCTTTATGAGATAACTCTGTCAGCATTGCACTAGTTTACGTACCTCGTGTACACAATCTATTGGTCTGATTTTATAAAATATATCGTGGTCTTTCACAAATCCAATAGTATGTTACTGGTAAGGAAGTGGTTGGCGGCATCCGGTTTCGGATTTGCCTGTCACTGTGGTCAGCCACAGGAGGCCTGCGCCTACAAAGGGACCATGGATGGATTGCGCTGCACCACACACAGCTCCAACAACACTCCAATATCCAGTGTAAACCCGAAGGAATAAGACCGGGAGGTATGTGAATGGGAGTCACGTGTCATCAACGGAGCCGGCCCACACTACTTCACAGGCAAAAATAAGCACGCTGCATTTGGTGAATCAAGCGCAATCAAGGCGGTGGCTGGACCGTAGTCCGCTCCAAACTGAATGCATGGAACCACTCTGTGATCCTAGCACGACCACAAGGACCGTGCACCCCGTCCTCTCCAACAACGATCAACTGTCTCCTGGAGCCAGTATGAACGAGGTAGTGGGTAATAGACAGGTAGGCACCTGGTCAACATGCAAATCAAGCGCAGCCACACCAGGGATATCAAGCAACAGCTAATCACCTGGAACGACAAGATGAAATAAAACAAATCCAATAATACATAGAGATCCGGTGGCATGACTTTTTGCTAAATTAGATTAGCAAAGTAGATAGGAGGGGATACTTACGTCTTAAATGGCATAATAAGCAAAGGGTTGACCAATATGAATGTGCGACTAGATCCTCGTCGTCGTCCGTAAATACTTTTGCGTCTCTCGTTTCTTTTCTCTTTTAATTCATTGCCGATATCAGAGACCTCAAACAGTCTACTTTGATCATCTAATTTTGGGACGGTTTCGTGCCTAGAGTTGTATCAGTCAATTTCTTGTACAACTCAATTCACCCAGGTCACAGCAGAAGGTGGTACGCTGGGATAACTGGACTGTACAAGACAAACACCTTAATGATGACCTTGGTAGCTGCTACTGGAAATAATTAGCAAAAGTCCCTTTTAAGCATTGTCTCCAATCAACCATTAGTTAGTGAATCCGTTTTCACATAATTGAAGACCAGAAATGTAATTGGTTTTGCAGAAGCATTTTCATATTACGCAATATATTATTACTCTTTTGACAACCGTTTTAAAACCGACATTTCACTTTCACTGACAGTTCCTTTGTATACCTGAGCCATCTGCTATTTGACGTCGCGCTAACGCAGCGCGTCCCAGTTGTCGATGAACGTGGCCGTTTGTGCGGGTTCTTAACGATTGCAGTCGAACCGATCCACAAGGACGCAGGGAAGGTAACGCAATCGGGATCGCGCTCAAAGGCAGACACAACCACGCAAATATCTTTCAGTAATAAAGCTTACGCGGAGTGGGTAAGTTTATGCGGGAAATATTATCTTTAGCAAGTGAGAATAATTCGGCGATCTAGTACTAAGTCCACCAATCGACAAATTTGTCATGCACTTTAAACGAACTATCGATATACCCCATGTCTACTTGAACGTTCCACTATCATTTAGGCGGATTTACATCCCTTTGCTACTGGCGAGAGTTCCTGCGCCTAGCGCTCCATAGACGTTAATATCAAAGGTGGCTATTTATTAAAGAATGTTAGCTACTTGAATTCTTCCAGTAGTATAACCGTTGCAAAAGACTTTTTCCTGCATCGGATGCCGGAACGACCTTACCTGCCCTATATGGTGTGACGTTGGATCAGTGACTGACGCAGCACGCTTTCCTTGACATAATAGCAATAACTGTTTCATTCATTTTTCACCGCACAGGTACATCTATCCGGTGATCGGATCTGCTTCGAAGAATGTTGCCTTGAGTGTGATCAGGTGAATGCGTGGTCTAGTGAAGTGGAGACGCCGCGCCCCCGTATCAAATATAATGATGGTCACCAATGGCGTCCCATGTATCCCGACTCAGCCAAGGATCAGGACAGTTTCTTCTCTCAGAGTACATTGAGTAGGTTTGCTTGTTTTAAAACCTCACGCAAGATCTGATCGTTTAGTCACATTCAGTGAAATATTTTACGAATGGGTAATTACTTCAACCCACCTAATTATTTTCCAAATCCCGCAAATGTTTTACTATATTCTGGCACAAAGTGTTTATGTTTAATTTCTAACATTCTACCAGTATATGACATCACTCGTCGCTTACCTATTATACTTTAACTAAGGGGAAGCACCGAAAAATTAGCCTGGTTTCGCCAATTATATTATGCTAGTGAATAAAAATGTCATGTCGCAGCTGAATGCATTCACTGAGAACTCACATGATCGTTTTTCCGAACTATCCAAGTGCAGACCGCCTAATGGACGAGACTATATTTGTTCGCTTCAAATACTGCTAATTTTGCCTCAGATTTCCCTGGTATTTCAAATCAGACCCCAGTCTGAGTTGGACAATTGATCGATTGTCCACAATGTGATTTGTGTGCTCTGAAGTGATAAAAGCTTACCTACATGACAGCTGCTAAGTTGCGTTTGTAAGTTGTTGGTTAGACGGTGAACTGAAGCCCAAATTTTTTCTCCATGAGATGAGAGCGGCTTGCTGATTCACTGCTATTGTAGTGAAGTAGCGAAAATTCAAATACGAAGGTTGATCAACGAGCAGAGTACCGGTGAACGCTAGTAAAACGGGACCAAAGCTAAACCACGGCAATATTCGTGGGGAATCTCAGATACTTAAAGGGAATAAAACACAACAATACCCTAATACTATTATGCCTAAACGGGGTGGACTAGGGAAAGGTCCCTTCGAAGTGCAAATCCCCTCCATGGAGCTACTCATCTCCTTATATGGCAGTTGGGACACGTGTACCACCCTGTGGAGAGGGATAGTAAACATACAACGTATGGATCAGCAATCGCAAGCTGAGTTGGGAAGTCCTTGAAAGGTAATGGAAACAGGATATATCACTAGTCATGGCATCAGATGGATCGAAGCCATATACAAAATGGTGACAAATCACGTGACGTCAATCACATGCGTGACATGTTTCTTAACTTAGCCTTGTGGTTATTTATAGCGAAGGTGAGTGGGCGAGATGGGGACGAACAAACAAGGACGGAGGAGAATGTGTGAACACGTTCGACGAGACGGTGTGGAATGATGTTAGTGAGGAGAAGCAGCGTAGACAGAGCCTGCCAGAACTAGCAAGAAGTCCTCAACCAGTTAAATATTTGTTACAACCTTATGCAACATTGGTTCCGTAGGTTAGTCGAGAAAAGCGTGTGTTAAATAAGCACTTCAGATGCAAACGAACCAAAATGAAATAACTGAAACGATTTGATGAAGGAATAGCAAGAGCAATGTGACCTAGACTATTTCCGCCGAGTTGTTCAATAACAGGGAGACGACAATCCTTTTGTGTTAAGATAACGAAATCCGGATCGGTTGTTAGCAAACTGTCACCCGTTTGTACGGACCAAATTTATAGTTCACATGCAGAGAATAAGCAACAAATATCACACAAGCGGCTGAGTAGTTTGATTCTATACTTACTTCATGTGTACATTGTTTAAAAAGCTAACCTTTTATTAACGCATTGTTACCTGGCCTACTCACCGGGAATGTTTTGATATTTGGGTTAAACGTCCTGGCTAACAAAGAAACATCAACTTAACGAAGGTCGGAGATAATTTGCATATATATATATATATATTTGCAAAAGTCTACGAATAGACATAATGCCATCAGAAACCATGGGATTCAAACGACGATACAGAAATAGTAAAATAAAACACAACACAACAATGTCCACGGTTTCGTCAGAGGGCGAATTACTACCCGGTTGCCCAAGCTGAAGTAGGGTGTTGACATAGGGGACAACACCCCGAGGCTTTGGCTGAATAGCCTGCCCGCAAGGCAGAGGAGCGAATTCAGGGAATCGCGCACATTGGGAGCCGGTCACCGATTGATCAGTTCATACGCCTTTCGTTCGTTCCTTCGTCAAACATCGGCCCAATAATCCCCAGAAGTACAGCATGATGTTGCTGGAATACAATGCTTTGCCAGGATGAAGCAAGGGGCAGTGACTTTATTTAGTGGCGAGTCACGTCCGCCACGTCACAGTGTTGTTAAACGGACATAGGTGGCTTTTTATAGGGAGAATGCTTGCCAGGCGAAAACCCACCACGTCCTGGAACACTGCCGTCGAACCATTTGCTGGAACGGGAAAATCCCGAACCACCCAGCTGGTACCACGAGGAGGTTGTTCAGCAAGCCATAACTATCCAATAAGCCTAACGCATCAAATGAAAAGGAACCACAACAATGAGGCACAAACGAATATTTCACCAGAAAAGGTGGGTTGCAGTGGGACGTAAAATACGGTTGGTCAGCTGCATAATTTGAGATGAATAGGCGTGGTTGGAAACATGCGGGTACCGGTGTATCAGGCTGGAGTGCTGCTCCATTTACCGATTCAATTTATTAGGTATAAAAAAGAAAACTCGCCAATACAGAAATGAGACCTAGCATGTTTGTTGGGCACGTTTGCGTGGAAGGACGCCTGGACAGAGTCTCAGTGTAGTGGAGACTGCGGCTGATTCAGCCCTGGTCATTTGAGTGCGATCAGGCTCAACGTTGCGGACTCGGAATCGATATCAATCTTCAATTGCTTGATTGCTTAACGTAATCGCATTCAACACATTGCAGCAACTTTCGTTCTTAGCTCAAAATAGATGGTCCGATAATCACGGAAATAGCGTGCACGAGGCACTGAGTGGTAACCGCCATCAGCCAATAGCAATCGGACAATGTGCCAGCATTGGTGTTTACTATAGACGTAGTTGTGGCGCACAGCATTCGCGCTTTGAAGGGATGGGGCGGAGCAAAAATCGGTAACACTTAAGCCAGCACCACACAATGTGGTAGACAACCGCGTCACCACACTGAATTACTCGAACCCAAGCCATCCGCTTGTCTAGGTGTGCACTAGTATTGGACAATAAGAGGGTGAGAATAGGCGCTTGTTCACGATCCGGTTCTAAACCCCAAAGCCTGGGATGTGAACTTAGGATGAAGTCAACACAGTTCCGGTCGAACGCAGATCCGGAAATAAAGACATCTGGAACATGAAGTCCCGTCCCTGTCTTGAGAGAGCCCATTGGGAATGGAGTTAAAACGGTCTCACAAAGAGGGCTTGAGACAGCCAACGAGGTGTCGGTTTACGGTGATGGAACAGATGCGTCACAGATGGCCAGGGTGAACAGTGTTAACTTGTATTCCGAAACGCCCTATGCGAGGGACAGTTAAGTAACCTCAATTGCAGGATCGAATTTGCGTGCCGTTCCTGGCCGTATGTCCGGTTCAATGACGGTGCATTAGAAATCCGTAGACTATGGGAAGATTGCGTCGCTCCGAAACAATGCATTTGCATCTGATGGACTGATGGCGTTCAATAGCAATGGACAAGTATACTCCCTAGACATCCTGTGAAATCCTCTCAAAGTTCAGTTAACCCGTGTTAATGTTCAAGCCTTGGGTAGGTGGTCTATACAGGGTTTAATGTGTATGTATCTGGGAGCTTACAGACAGTCGGCTTGTTGCGATCTGATTAGCTGCAGGTACATCTTGCGTGGCTATTCTAATGTGTTACTCGCATGCCATGCTGTTGTTGTATCCGTACGCGATTGCTGCGTACGGATTCGCGTGTTGATCGAATATGACAACGGCTGAATCTGTCTGCAGTTTGAAAGCAGCTGGTGAAGCATTTAACGCCCCTGCAATTGCGTTAGGACCATTGAATGCGAATTGTCGCTAGTCCTTTAACCGTTTCTTACTTCGTGTCAAACCCCCCACAGATATACCTGCGGACATCTCTCGGCTCTTTGAATACCCTCTGGGTGTAATCACCATCACAGCGGTGACCAAAACTGTCATCGGTATACCACTTTGACTCCCTCTAAGCAATGACAGCTGGCCCATTTTGAGTGGTTGTACCGATATTTCTGCCTCACTTATTTGATTAGGCACATAAATCACTCGCCACCCTAATATACCATGCCATAACGGTGACCGGATGACGGCATATGAGCTATGCGGACACGTGCAATCGGAATGTAGGTCATGTTTACGAGCCCGCCAACGCTAAGGTGTGTCAGGTAACGCTCAGGCTGATGTCCACAAATCTTAATTACAGAATGAACATATGGACTGAATGTACTCCTTCCGGGATTCCAGTTGCACTATTTGTGGTCATTTGTCGTCGGTCTATCTATGCACCCACCGCACGGACTTTCTACACAACCTACACAACCTCAACTGCTGATTCCACTGGATCACAACCTGTTACTAACGCAGCAGGAAACAACTGCCATGGTAACTTACTCGAAGTGTCTCCATGTCCGAGGGTACCACGCAGGACTGGAAGCAATAGCAACTGAGTGCCACTGTACACCCCACTTAGGTTGGGCCAACAAATATTTGAAAAATAAAACCAACAGTGACAGTTACCGTGAAATTTATCAGTGATGTTGAAGTATTTACTGATCAAGTAGACGTAAAACAGCAGCATACGTTTGCCTTACATTATGAACCGTTTGTTGACAGTGTCTCAGTGTCACGCAGGCGCATGCTTCCGCCACAACCTGCTCCAATAAATTCATCCTCCACTCCGTCTTGCTCAGAACACCAGCTGGATCTCCTTGGAGCATTTCGCTATATCTGCTTTTTATGTCTTGTTTAACGCAGGTCTTAATGAAGCTCCAAATCCCTTTAATGGGTATCAGTTGTGAAGAATATGTTGCGCGAGGTAGCAATGTTACCGACGTGTAAGCTTACTCTTGGAAAATACGCTCTAGCTTAGTGTGACATGCGGCGCTATCATAAACAAGAACACATCTGTCAGACAAATGTCCACCATCTGTATCAAGCATCTGCCGCAACCAGCGCGCACATCTTTCCTTACCGTAACTGCCTCTTTGAACGCAATGCCCCAGCAATCCTTCTGCGGT